TATCTGTGTACTGATCCGATGTTTAATTTTTTAAATCCCGATACGTAACTGATTTTTTGGGTGACGCTAGGTTGGTTTATTGTCCATAGACGGCATACAGAAAGCCGATGACAGGTTTTCTAATGACAGCACTCATATGTAATGTGCAGCCCGCCTACAATTTTTTGATGCTGAATTTTTCCAATTTGTAACATTAAAGATTAATGGAATTTATACTCGATGAGATTTTATGCCAATAAATGTAATCCACCCTGGACCAGATCATCCATTGGGTCGTTCCAAAATTATTAATTCTAGTAGTAAATTGAACCGTTCCAGTGCCAACTGACAGTTGGACCAGACACAGAAATTTGGACATATTCCATTTTTCCAGTTAAATTTTTCCAATAATTTTAAGTCTGAGCTTAGTCCAGTGTCCAACACTGCTTAGGAGGAATTGCTAAAGTGACATATATAGACTCGATACATTTGGTGGTTTATTAGGTCTTAATTTGATAGTTTATTGGCTTATAATTAACGAAGTAACAGTTTACAATATTAAAGTACATGCTCGTAACAAATTTTGCAATTTTTTTTTTTTTGAAAAAAGAAAAAATATTTCTGATAAACTAATAACAATATTTTAATACGTAATTTTATTTTATTGAAAGTTTATAATAATATGATGCAAATACGTAATTTTTGTTTCTAGTTCAGATTGTTCTTATTCCGACCTAACTTTCCGGATGATCATTCACATTTGGGTAATGGACTAGGAAAACCCTTTTCGATATTAGTTGTCGAGGGGGGGTTTTCCTAGTCCATTACTCATTTCTGGAGGAATCCAGGTTATATTGGCTCTATGTGCATTGTGCAGGGTCCTATTTCTAGATGGACTATTACCAACTAGAGACTGGACTCGAGTCAACTCGTAGCTTAAAAAACTAGCTACGAGTGACTCGAGTCCGAATATTACTAATAAAATTTACGACAGGCACGACAGGACTCCTACAATTGGGCTGATGATTGGGGTGTTCATGTAGGCATCTATTAAAGCATGAAATTGAATTAAAATTTTTTTTTTTTTTTGACGAATAAATAGAGCAGTTACTTACAGCCAACAAAATTGATACGAGCATTTACAAGTCATATGATTACATCCATCAATTTTTTCGATAGGTATGGAACATTTAGGACATCTCTTTGCATTTCGTGAAATATAATCATCAGTAGCAAAGTCCAATTGTTTCTTGTCCATTTCATATGCTCTGCAAGTTTTACCCGTGTGCCAGATAACTTCGTGAACATAACATGACTTTTCGCCACAGTTTTCACAGACGACAACTGGTGCTTTATCTATAAATATTAGGAAGAGAGAATGTACCTCGAAATGAAAGAAAATACAAAGCTTTTTTTGAACCGTAGACGGTACCTTTCCCTATATGAATTTGTCCGGCTCCGCAAGGGGCTTTACACCATCTGAATTCTGGGATTTTTTGTATTGCAATTTTGTAGGCAAGAGAATCATACCTAAAACAAAAAAGAAACGAATGCATTAGTATAACGCACTCTCTTGATATAAAAAAAGCTGCTATCGTACATTGTAAAGAGTTCTTCTGTTGCAATCTGTTTAATATCGTGCCTTTCCATTATTTTCTTACACGTAGGACAAGGAATTTGCAGTTCTTGTTTTTCATCAAGTTGTTTTTGAATGTGTTTATTAGCACATTCCGTACAAACAACTGCTTTATGAGTACAATTTGAAGTTATTTTACGGAAATCCCTATTCTCTGTATTGCAGCAGATGACGCATTCGCTTAAATCATACATATTTTGACCAAAAACTTTTTTTAAAATAAATAAGGACATTCAAGAAATATATATTTAAATCCAAATAATTTAAAGATGAGTTAAGCTCAGAAGAATACTCGAATCATTTGAATGAGTCAAAATTTTTTGAATTTATTAGAATTACTCGAATAAAAAAATTAAATTACAACTTACAAAAGCAGGTGTAAGTACTAGACTCGGTCCCTGAAAAAATCCGAGCAACAACGTTTGTTTTGATTAAAATTTTCAAGGGTAAAGTCTGATAAATAATAAACATAATATATTTCATATTACGATTCAAGAGAGTAAGCGCATTTAATGTACTTAACGTTAACAATTGTGTGAATTATTTGACTCACGAATCTGACGAATCATGATTTGAATAATGATTAACTCGAATTATTCGAATTACGAGTTGACGAGTTCAATCACTACATGAAATAATGGTATATGCAAAACGTATGTCCATTTAACTACCTGTATTTTAATAATACATGCTACTTCGGGTGATTCTAAATGTTAAATGTCATGTAATATCATACGATGCTCATAGAAATCAGGGATTAAAGTCTAATATAGGTGGCCCTATATTTATTATACTATTGAGGGGTTATTTAATCCGAAATTCAGATTTTCTTTATTCCCTGTTTCAAAATACCAATTTTCTCAAAGCTAACAGAATACTTCAACTATTCAAGACAATGTCATTCACGATTTCACTAATTATCGGTGAACTTCATTTGCCGCTCGAGATTTGCTCTGCTGATACCATTTCTCAGGTGAAACAAAAGATACAAAACAAAAATAGCATTAAGATTGAAAACCAAGAATTATTTCTCAGCGGTAAAAAGCTCGAAGATAATAAAACAGTAAAAAGTTATAATATTGGCTTAGATGAAAAAATCAGACTCGTTCAAAAGACTGAAGGTCTCATACAAGTATTCATTAAGGGTGTTGAGGGCAAATCAACAGCTATTTTCATCAAACCAACTAGTACCGTACTTGAATTGAAACGAAGCTATAACGAGAAGGAGAAGATTCCAGTAAAAGAGCAGAGGCTTATACATAGCAGTAAACAGTTAGAAGATAATAAAAAACTGTTAAACTACGGAATTAAACACGATTCAACTATTCATCTTCTTATGAGATTGCATGGAGGTCTTTGATTTAGGGAAAGGGGATTTTTTTTTTTGCAATAAGATAGCCATAACTCTGGATCGTATACTTATTTATGAGAATATATGTTTTACATGGAGTTTGACATGTTTTTGTATAGAGATATCTAAAAACATATAACGAATAAATATACACATGCTATTCAAACCCACTTTTTACCAGAGCATTAGCAAGTTCAAAAAATTCAGTCGCGAAATCAAAATTCAGCAGAACCAAATTGATAACTTTGCTAATAACGATAAAGCAGACCATTTTTTGTTTAGGTAAAATGGCTCAGATGATAATTCTGTTGTAATATAGCATTTTGCTTAATACCGGCCTAGCTCTGATGAATCCGACCCTAAATTTTGGTCAATCTGCTGATTTTGGTTTTATCCAAAAAAAAAAATTCCGTGCCTCACATGAGTCAGTACGCTAAAACACTAGCAATCGTTAATTTTTTAAAAAATATTTCTTGAAAATAGCCCAATTAGTTCAATTTTTAACGCATTTTCGAATCTACAGGCTTTATGATGTTTAATAATGCATTCTAATGTTAATATTGTTTAAAATTTTTTTTTTTTAATTTTTGTTAATTTATTTTTAGAGTTTGATAATTGGTATATTTTTGAATAAGGTTTTAAGGAGTTTTTTGTTAATTTTAAGAGCGATGGGTTTATAACACAAGTATTAATTCTTATTTTCAAATATAATTGTACAAAGTTTTATTTAAATATTTTAGCATTTTAAAAAAGTAAATCAGAGCTAAAAAA